TTGAACGCCAGGTATGTTAGAATGTTTTGTCACGCTCTCAGGCACACATGTATTAGGCGCACATCATTATCGTGTCCCACGGGACACGATAAGGATTTCTTGATCATTTCTAATACCGGTATCCGGGCTTGGGGGGTTTAGTTTCAGAGTTTCTTCGGGCGAAGCACGACTTTGTAATGGATGAAATGATGTGAAACGTTAAAACACAATACACTGGATGTACGTACCGAGGCACTACCAGTAAAAAGGGTAACGTAAAAAAGAAATGTTCGGGGGCGATATGAAGTCGTGTTCTATACTAAGTACAAAACAATACAGCTGACACAAAAACATTCCCGAAGCTCAAACACCCGCGATCTCCAATAAGGTGTAGAAGCCCGATCCTCGGACGGGCTGCACTTCCGGCGCACTTGTGGATAGCTACGCAAAAGAGAGAATGAGATTATATTCCTTATCCCTACTAACCTATGTCTTGCCTGCCAGGTGATTGCGCTGCTCGGCGCCTATCGTCCGCAGATCTCTGGTCCGGATCTCCCCACTTTAAACACTCCTCCTCGCCGGCAACGTCAAGCATCTTTACCAGCGCTCTCATTTTCCACGAATCGCCACGTTGGCCTCTCGAGGCCTAATGCAGCCCCAGGTTGACTCGCAAGTCGGCCATCCTCGGCGCCCTCAACGCCTTCGTCATCAAGTCGGCGGGAATGTGCTCGTTCTCACGATACTCGGGGCCCAGCACGCCCTTCTTCGTGTAGGAGTCTACGAACTTTATGCGCACATCAATGTGCTTTGCCTTCGCACTTGCACCCTCACCCCCTTACAGCTTCAACGCTGCCTGATTGTCCACTCGCAGTGGCATCGGCTCTACATGCTCGACGGCGAGTTCGCCTAGAAGTTTTCGAACCCCCATTAACTCGGCGGCCATCACCGAGGCCGCGGTGGTACTCCGCCTCCATCGTGGACAGCGATACACTGCCCTGCTTCTGGCAGGTCCAGCTGGCAGGCATCCCATCCACAGTAACGAGTCCTCCGGTCATGAACTTTCTGTCCTGCTTGTCGGTCACGAAGTCCGCGTCACTGTACGCGACGACTTCCAGCGGCTCCTCCGAACTCCTGTCTCCCTTCATCTGCAGACGCAGGTCCTTCGTTCCCGACAAGTACCTGACTATGCGCTTTGCCAGCTTCCAGGCTGCCATCGTCGGGCCGTGTGTCCGGCGTGACGTCTTGTGCACAGCGAACGCAATGTCGGGCCGCGTGCAACGCGCCACCCACATCAAACTTCCGAACCAAAGACTGAAACTTCGCCACAGTCACCACGCTTACCGTCTCCTGACAACGGTAAGATCTCGGCCGCATCCAACGGCAGGTCATTCCACTCCAAGCCAATGGGCGTGTGCACCGGGTGCGCCGCCTCCATCTCGTACTCATTCCGGATGTCAGTGATCGCAACCTCCTGATCTAGATCGTATCCGTTCTCGTCACCTTACGTGACGCGCATCCCTAAGAATTTGCTCACCACTCCCAGGTCCTTCACAGACAGATCCGATAGCTCTCCAAAGAACGCATTCACCGCGTCTTAACCCGTGCCAGTGACCAGTAGGTCGTCCACATAGGCGCCTACGACGACCAGCACCCCTTGCTTCCGTCGATAGTAGACGCACATGTCCGTCAAGCTCTGTTCGAATCCCAAATCTACCAGCTTCTGGTGGAGAAGTTTGCTCCAGAGTCCCTCAGCCTGCTTAAGTTTATACAGCGCTTTCTTCAGCCCGAGGACCAGCTCGTCGTCACTCGTGGCGCTCAGCTGCTTCTTAATTTCCTCCGATATGACCATTCCCTGCGGCAGCCGAATGTAGATGTCCAGTTCCGGCTCCTTCTCCGCCTTAGCGAAGGCGTTTGGTACATCCCCATGTCTTGCTGGGACTCTCCACTTCCTGGCCAAGCACAGGATGAGCTTCACACCGCCATGTCGATCATCGCGGTGAAGGTGATTCCATAGTTCACACCGAACTCTTGCTCATTCTCACAGGCCACGAGCCGCGCCTTCAACCGTTCGATGAGTCCTGCAGCATCTCTTTTCGTCTTGAAGACCCATTTTGTATGCAGTGGACGCGCCCCACTAGGTACCCGCGTGACCTTCCACACTCCATTTTCCTCGAGTGCTTCGAGCTCCTCTTTCATGGCTTTCATCCATTTCTCATAGCGCTGGCTGCGCATTGCCTCTCGGGAGTTCCTCGGATCTAGCTCCATCACATTGTTTACCACTCTAGTTTCTGGCTCCTCCTGCTGCACGGACTCGCCTGTCTCCTCCGCAGCCTTACGCGCGACCGAACGCATCTCGTGACGCTCTCGCTACCAGGTTTTCTTCTGCTTGGATCGCCTCTTTCCCTTTATCCCGCGTCAGCCCCCGGCCGACGCGTTCTCAGTGGTGGCCACCTCAGCGGCGCTCGCAGCTCCACCCGTGGACTGTTCCTCAACAGCACTGTCATCATCCTGCAGGTACAGTCGCTGCACCTGCTCGTTCTGGGTCTTGTTAAGCGTCTAAATGTTCTTCACGTGTTGTGTTGTGACCACGCGGTTCTTTGGTAGGTAAGCTCTGTATCCTTTCGTTTCGTCTCCAATGCCGACGATCATGCCCTGCTGAGCACGCTGCGAGAAATTCTTGTTCCGCGGGTCTCGATACACAGTACCCGGGGAGCCAAAAACGACGATCTCGCCAAGTGTCGGTGTCTGCTTCGTTAGTACCTTCAACGGCGAAGCTCTGCCCGGGTTCGAGTTAGTCGGCGACCTGTTCAGAATGTAGGCCGCGTACTGCACAGCATCCCCCAAAAGTTTAATGACAGTCCACAGGCGAAGATCATGCACCGTGCCATGTTCATTATGGTCCGATGCATGCGCTCAGCCTTTCCGTTGCTGGCTTGATTTCTGGCCTCGCTCCGCTGACGCACTACGCCGGTCTTTTTGCAGAATAAGTCTACGTTTTGGTACTCTCCGCCCGAGTCCGTCCTCAGTACATGAATCCTGCAGTCGAAACGCTTCTCAAAGAGCGTGCGGAAGTGTTCGAACTACTTGGCGGCAGCATATTTCGTTCGCGCCAGGAGCACTCTGCAGTAATTGCTCTTATGATCGACGAAGTTTATCATGTAGAGGTCATTGAGACGATCTCGCGGCGTCATCGGACCCTTCACGTCCGAGCAGATTACTCCACCAACTCGATCGATCGGCGAGTGGTCCCCCGTATCTTTCTGCGACTGCCGGTTCTTCGTCTGTTTCCCCTGCGCGCAGGCTAAGCAGTTGACGCGGCGATGGTCCGTGATGACGATGCCCGAGCTCGGGTCCCGTTCAAGTTTCTTAACTGCGTCGCAGTTTAAGTGTCCGAGCCTCTTGTGGAACTCCACCAACGTGTCTTTCTGCACGTCATCCGACACCATTGAGGCCTCGGCCTCAGTCTGATCAAGTGCTGCCATAATTACTCCCGATGAGGCTTCTCCTTTCCGCTCTACGACGGCAGGCACGACTAGCACGCCATGCCGCAGATCCACGTCAAATGCTACTCGCCCTCCGTCTACACCAGCAACGACGCGTCGTCCGTCTCTGTATGCCAGCGTATACCCCTTCTTGTCAAGTTGATCGTAGGAGATCAAGTTGTGCACAACGTTCTCGGCGTAAAGCACGTTCATTAGCTTCACGATCTGCTCTGTGCCGCTCGCCATGACGAGCAGTGTGAGAGTCCCTTTCTTGCTGATCTTGAGTGGATTTCCGTCTGGCTGAACGCACTCGTCCAAGTACTTCTCGACGTCATCCAGCCATGACGCATCGCTCACGAAGTGCCGACTGGACCCGCTGTCCAAGATCCACATCATGTCGGACTCGTCCGACGTCTCTACCACTGACAGCGTGAGATCAGACTTCCTGCCGCCCCCTCGCGTCCGCTCAGGACATGCTGCCCGCAGGTGTCCAACTTTCCCGCACTGATGGCAGGTGCGTGTGTCCTTGCCGCGGCGCTCGGCCACGGCCCCACGATTTCTCTGCCGAGATTCTTGTGCTTGGCAGGTTCTAATTCCAAGGCTTGTGCGAAGTGTGCCAACTCCTCAGCCTGCTGCAAGTAGTCCGCTCTTGTCCCATCTACTTTGGCCACTAGCACTGTACGCAAATCTGCGGACGCGTATTGCACGGTGTTGTTCAACACGAGGTAGTCTGCCCCGCCACTCCTTGCATCTGATACGGCGACCAAGTACGTATATTGTTCGGGCCACGATCTCTTGCCTTCCTTCGACGCAGTGAGCAACTTCATTGTTTGCGCGGGGGTGATGTTGGTCTTGAACGTCTCGAGCATCCTCTCCATGACGAATTGCAGTGTGGGCAGCTGTGTCCACCAGGCATCTTCTTGCTTGTTACAGTACTTTTCTGCAGTCCCCGCCAAGTAATGCCCCAGCAGATCCACCTTCACATCTTCCGGCCACGCGAATCCACATGCTGACTGGGCCAGCGCAACTTGTCTCTCGAAGCGTCGACCCCACTCGAGAAATCCAGATCCGAGCCCCACGTACAACTCCTTGCCGTCGAATGGACGGATTGCTAGCTTCTTCTGTCGCGCGTCCGGGTAGCGGACTCCTTGGTTCTGCTGCTGGAAATGCTCGCCTCCAGCCTGTGTCCGACCATCTCGTGGAGGCGCTGATGCTGGCGCTGGTGCTGCCGGCCGCGCTCCTTGTGCTGCGGCGTACAGGCGCTGCAACTCAGACATTGGCATGCCGTAGCCATGTTGCTGCTGTTTGAAGTACTGTGGCGCGGCAGCTGGTCTACGCGGCGTCACTGTGAGCGGCGTCTGTGGCGACTCACCTAACAAGTCGATATGCATTCTTGTCCCGTGGCCGAGTCCAGACGCAAACAGACTGGAGTTCATGGGTGGTGTCGAAGGGCGATTCAGGCGCGCACGCCTTGCAACTTGATCGTTCAACTGATTCTCAAGTTTTTCATGTGACGCGTTTAGCTTGGTCTGCGACCCCTCAAGCCGCTTCCTGCTGGCCCGCTACGCCCCGCAAGAGCGTCATCAGCTCTGCGGCGGTTCCCCCGGTCGCCGGCGCATCAGCGTCGGTGTTGTTGCCGCTTCCCCTTTCGTGGGCCACGGCGGTGCTCATCTCCTCTGTGTCGTCGGCCATGCCGGTCCTTTCGCGACTGGCAACGGGCACTGTCGGCGTCGGCGCTGGCGCGCCATCGCCGGTGACCTCATCTGTGGCTCTGGTCATTTGGGCTCAAGACCTGTAGAAGCCTCGGACGGGCTGCACTTCCGGCGCACTTGTGGATAACTACGCAAAAGAGAGAGTGAGATTATAATAGATTCCTTATCCCTACTAACCTATGTCTTGCCTTCCAGGTGCTCGGCGCCTATCGTCCGCAGATCTCTGGTCCGGATCTTCCCACTTCAACATAAGGTGCTCTAGCTCTAAAGATCTCGCGGGGTATAGCCGCCCGACTGTACTCCACGTGTGCCAGCAGTAGGATCAGCTACAGTATTAGCTGTAATTATATCTTTGAGCCCCAAGATGATGCAGAATTCTCTTTAATCCCATTCTCCGATCAATCTTTTCCCATATTCATTACTATCTCATGGATTTCAAGATTTTAAACAGCTACATCAACAGGTAATCATTCTTTTCGGTAGACCTTAACACTGTAGTTAGTACACCAGGGAGCCACGCTGATGCCCTTAAAAACTGATGATGCTTGTCACGGACCCCGTCACAAGCATCATCAGGTTTTACACAGCACCTTGCGCTAGAGGAAGTTATCTTCCGAGAGTATACAAACTCTCAGTGAGCGGTAGTTCACAGATCCCCTCTTTATTTAAAGAGAGCGAAGTGACCTAAATAAGGTAGATTGTAAACTGAGTATATTTATAGGTAGGTTAAGTTTGGGTTTAATACAAACTATAAGTTACCTATAGAAATGCAATGTCGTTTAACCAATGGTTGGCTTTGAACGACCTTGGTACCTTGTACCAAATATCCCGGAGTACGACGTGTCATACACCTGAAGTGTGAAGTGTCACACTTTATGTAACCAGGGTACACTTAGGGCTACGTACCCCGTTACATCCTCCCCCACTTAGGTTCGGTTTACCGACCAATCAGAATGAAGAGGTGTTCGTCACAAACTCTCATTCTCAAAGTCGAAAACCATCGACTTGGCCGCGCGAGCGCGGCGGAGGCTCACTTCACAGTTAGAGCCTCAAACAGCAACCTGTGCGCTCTTCGTCTAGGTCTCCAAATCGACCGTTACCATGCCTCGTGGCACTGCAAAGAGCGGTGCTAAGACACGCTCCAAGGCTGCTGCCGGTAAGGCGCAAGCCAAGAGCACTAAGCCTCACGGCAAAGGCTCTGCACTCAAGGAGGATACTCAGGTGGCCTCTGAGGCGATCGGTTCCTCGGGTGACGCGGCTGTGGACAAGCGCCGCAGCCCGTCGCCCTCATCTTCAGACAATCGTCCGAACCCTCGGTTCGTGAAACGTGAGTTCAACTCGGGCAGTGAGGACGATGCCGAGTCCGAGAGCACTCACGATGCTCCTGCGGGCTCTGTGGGAGGGCACAGCCCAGTGCCCAGTGAGCACAAAGATGACAGCGTGCAGTCGCTCGCTAGTGATCAAGGTGATCACAGTCCCAGACCTCTGTGCGCTCTGAGGGTCCGGCCGTCAAGGCTAAGGCGCTCCCAAAGCCGGTGGCGATGAGGAAGAGAATCCTCGCAAACGTCTCTCGCTTGCCGAGGGTCTTGCGCGTGCTAAGGCCTCTAAAGCCGAAGGCGCCAAGCCCTCAAAGAAGCGTACCGCCTCAAAGTCTCCACTCCGCGAGGAGAAGGAGACTCGTCGCTCCTATCGGAGTATCTTTGACTCCTCGTATGAAGAGGAGGAGAAGGAGGAAGAAGAGGAAGAGGATGGTGCTATCGTTGAGCCCCGGGAGGTCTCGAATGACCTCGACCAGCAGCAGGAGGATTTCCAAGCTGCCCAGCGTGTGCGTGGGGGTTCGGTGGCGGCACCCGTCAGCCAGGGAGCTGCCATCAACTCAAGAGGGTATTGGCCTCCCGAGGAGAGCTCTGGGGCTGACCTCTTCTTAGAGCTTCTCGTCGCTCCTCGTGGCCTTGTGGGCGGCCACACTTCTAGGGGCATCTATGAACGAGCCCTTGTTCAGAAAGAACAGTTGTTCGTCGACAACTTGGAGGCTGCTCGGTGTGTGCTTCTCGCGCCACACCGCATTTCCCTTAAGGACTTCACGACTTGTCGTAAGAAGCCCGAGACCCGGGGTGGTCTCTATCCTCTTTAGGGATACTCCTGGGTTATGCCCGAGAACTGTCCCACGTGGAGTTCTTGTGAGAACATGTTCTGGGCGTGGGTGGAGACTCTTAAGTACTCGCCCACGGAGTTACGGGAACTCCATGAAGATCAGCTGCTGTCCCGCATCCTGGACCAGCGTGATCTTCGTGTGAGGTTTGCCCACTTGATTAGCAAGCGTATGCTGCCAAGGGACATCCTGAAGCGCGCGGCTTCTAGCGCTCACGATGAGCGCGGGTACGGTATGTGTTCATCGTCCGTACCCCGTTCGGGCAAGAAGCCCCGGACTACTTATGAAGCTGCCGCCGCTTCTGTTCCCAGATTGCGACAGCCTTCGGGCAGTCAATCAGGAGCCGTTCAATCGGCTCCCACGAGTTCTCGGAGTGGGCATAACCCCTCCACTTCACGAGGAGCTGTCGCTTACCGCGACGCCGTTGCTCCTGGAGGATCCGCTCCATGTGGAAGTGGACTTCTCCATTCCGGTCAAGCAGGGGCGGAGGTGCCCTCGTACGCGTACGAGTACTCGGCGCCCCCCGAAAGCCACTCTCGTCCGAGTGCTCCGAGTGCGGGTCCGACACAGGACCCTGAGGTTGACCGCCTCCGTCAACGTGTCCTCGTGCTTGAGATTGCACTTGGCCTTGGGACTGGCGGTAATGCTGCCGCCCAGGCCGGGAAGCAGGGCGAGCTCATTCGTCTTGCGGGCCGCCTGGACCTGCTGGAGCGAGAGGTCGCGAGCCTGCACCTGCGGGTGGATCGCCGGGCCTCTTCGACCGATCTGGACGAGGCCTTTCCCATGATCCGACGGATCGAGGCTTTGTTGCCACGTCTGGAGCCGCCTGTGGCCACTCCCAGACGTACGCGTATGGTGCGTACCCGGCGTACTCAGCGTACTCGGCGTATGGCGCCGGGGTTCGTTCGTATGGAGCCCCTCCGGCGTACGGTCTTGACCGCAGCCTTGCCGTCCCAACCGAGGCTTGGGTGCCTGCTCCGACGACCTCGTCGACGACTGTGACCGGCCCTCGCTTCGAGGAGCTGGGTCAAGGGGGGTCTGCGAGTCAGCAATTCCCTGCGGGTCAAAGTACCGCTTAAGACGTCCGACATAGAACGTCGGGTGTGCCGTCATTGACTTTGGAAGGTCGATGGTGTACAACGCACCATGTCTGGCCAGGACTGCAAAAGGTCCGATGAAGCGGTGCTTCAGCTTGTTGCTGCCGACAGAGCTGACAGTGTCAAGAGGTAGGTTCCTCGTGTCTAGCAACACTAAGTCTCCAACCTCAAATATACTTAAGTTTCCTCTTCCATGTTTGTCTGAGTACTCCTTTTGTTTATCTTGGGCCGCTGCCATGGCATCACGGACCCTGCTGACAATGTTCAGCTTGGTATCCATAAAGAATTCCACCTGTTTCCGCAGCGAAACTGGTCTCACATCCGAGACCTGGGAGCTAAGGGCTTTCCGAGTCTCTCCCCCACTTGGAATAGAGGAGTCAGTGTCTCCTCGAAGAGTGAGAGGCACTCTGGGGTGGCGGAAGCCGTTCAAGTAGAACGGCGTGAACCCCGTGGACGCGTGCACCGCGTTGTTGAGCGCAAACTCAACAACTGGAAGCTGCGTCGACCACGTAAGTGGTGCTGCCGCGCACACACTGCGCAGAGTGTCCTCGAGCACTCGATGGACGCGCTCAGTTTGGCCGTCTGTCTGCGGATGGTCCGCAGTGGACATCTGTAGACGAGTTCCCAGTAAATTGAACAGCATTTCCAAAACGCAGCAGTGAACCGCGGGTCTCGGTCCGAGACAATCGTCTCCGGGAGACCGTGATAGCGGAACACGCCATCGACGAACAACCTTGCGGTTTGTTCGCCCGTAACAGTGACGGGAACTGGAGCAAGATGTACCATCTTGCTCAGCCGACACACGAACACCAAAATTCCGGTGTTGCCGTGTCCGTCGGCGGGAAGCCCAAAGATGAAGTCAAGACTCATCGACTTCCAACAGTCAGCCGGTACGGGCAGGCTCTGTAGTGGAGCCGAAGAGTGCCCTGCGGGTTTGACCCGCTGACATGTTTCACATGTCTTGACGTACCGGCGACCCACTTGTACATGTGGGTCCACCAGAAGGACTGAGAGACCGACAGAAAGGTCTTCTCGCGGCCCAAGTGGCCGCTGGAGGGCGCGTCATGCGCCTCCGCGAGGAAGATCCTCGTCGTTGGGTACAACCACCCGTGGAGGATCAGTGGGCTCCACCCGGTAATAGAGGAGGCCCTCCTTCAACTCATATCGGTGGAGCCGTGAGCGCTGCCGCGACGAGAGCCAGTCGGACTTCGCGCTCGTTCCGGCCATAAGGAACTTGACGATAGGCGCGACAGCCTCATCGTCCTGATACGCCATGCGTATCCGATCATATAGATTCGTTGTCAACCGTGTGATATGGGCCAATTCATAGTCAGGACGCCGAGAGAGGGCGTCCGCAAGCACGTTGAGCTTGCCCGGCTTGTACTCGACGCGGAGGTTGTACTCCGCGAAGAAGGACAGCCACCTCGCCATCCTTTGGGAGGGGTGAGGCGAGTTAGTCGCCGACCTCAAGGACGCGTGGTCTGTGTAGATCACAAAGGGCCTAGAGCCCAGAAGGTGAACACGGAACTTCACAAGGGCATATTTCATTGCCAGGAGCTCCTTGTCATGGACGGGGTAGTTCTGCTTGGCGGCTTTGAGGTGCCTGGACTGGAACGAGATGACTCGTTCGTGTCCAGCCGTGTTGGCCTGCAGCAATGCACATCCGATGGCGTAATCGAAGGCATCGCAGACGACGCTAAACGGCTTCGTCTCGTCCGGCAGGGCCAGGACAGAGGCCTCTTGGAGACTGGCCTTGATGCTGTCAAAAGCATCCTGGTGCTCTTGCTCCCAGCGCCAGTCGACGTCCTTCTGAAGGAG